GATGGAGGGTGGAGGGTGGAGGATGGAGGGTGGAGGGTGGAGGATTGAGGATGGAGGGTGGAGGGTGGAGGATGGAGGATGGAGGATGGAGGGTGGAGGGTGGAGGATGGAGGGTGGAGGGTGGAGGGTGGAGGGTGGAGGATGGGAGATGAAGGACAGAGGGTGGAAGACAGAAAATAGAAGGTAGAAGGCAGTCCCAGAGACCCATGCCCCATGCGCCCTCCCTGCCTCCTCTCCCAGCCCGGTGCTCAGCCTGCTGGGGCCTGGCCCCTCACCCACCTCTGTAGGACCTGGGCCTCCCTGCCCGGCCCTGTCCGTGGAGGCTGTCCCCTCTCCCCGGGCAGGTGCTGTCCAGACCGGCCAGCCCAGGGCGGCTGCTCTCCCCAGCCAGGAGAGCTTGCTCTGCCCGGCCCACAGACCTTCCTAAGGTTGCCCGAGACCTGCAGGCGTGCCAGGGTGTTACTGGTCACATGATCAGCCTCTAATTGTCCTCGGTGTCTCCGAGGCCTGCGAGGCCTGTCCTCTGACCGTGGCTCCGGGTCTGCCTCTGCCCCCTCCCGGCCCCTATCTCCTGGTCCCGTCAAGGCCCCGCTGCACCTCCGCTGCCAGGGAGTGACTGGCCGGATGAGGCGGATTGGACGGCGTTTGCAGCCAGCACGGTCAGTCCTCGCCCGGCTGGTCCCGGCCGAGCCTCCCTCGGAAGTGATCACAGGATTCAAGAATGTGCTACCATGGCTGTGGTGCCCACGGCAGCGGGAATTGCCGGGCGCTCAGCCGACCCTGCGCCCGGAGACCACCAGGAGGGGCCGGAGGGGCCGGGCGGCTCCCAGGCCTCTTCCCCAACCGCAGGGCCATGGCGGCGTGGGGGTCCCCCAGAGCAAGGGTCGCCAGTGTGAGGGACACAGAGCACTTCTGGCGGAACTGAAGCCCTTTGGGAGGAGCTGGCCTGCCCCTCCCGTGCTCCGGGGACAGCCCGGCGTCCCTGACGTCCTTGACTGTACAGGAGGATCCGACCTCTCTGCAGATGTGGCCATCACCTGCCTCCTCCCCGAGCACAGGTCCAGTGTGGCCTGCGGGCAGTGGCACAGCTCGGGACTGAGTCTCACACATGCGCACACATCCGCACACGCATACACACACACCCCTGCGCACACTCACCAGGAGCCGCAGAGCAAGACTGTGCATGGCCACCACAGCCCAGGAGAGGGCCCGGAAGGACAGCCGGGCGGGGCGAGTGGTCTGCAGCCAGCAGGCCTCTGAGCTCGGCTGTCTGACCCCTGCCCACCACACATGCCCATCTGGCTTTGTACAGCCTGCAGGGAGTGTGGCTGCTTCTGTAACATGTCCACTGGGAACCCTGAAGGGGCCGCATGGGAACAGGGTCTGCAGACGTAATCAAGGGGGGCTGGCAGAGTGGTACAGCCTGGAATGGGCCGTTCCTAGATCCACTGAGAAGAGATGGAAGGGACCCCACGGAGTCAGAAGCAGAGGTGGAGGGACGCTGCCACGAGCCAAGGAATGCCAGGGAGGGTCTGAAGCTGGAGAGGCAGGAAGGACCCTACCCTGGAGGGGGTGTGACCCTGCCACACCTGACTGCCCACACCTGGCGGCCCACACCTGACTGCCCACACCTGACTACCCACACCTGACTGCCCACACCTGGCGGCCACACCTGACTGCCCACACCTGGCGGCCCACACCTGACTGCCCACACCTGACTGCCCACACCTGACTGCCCACACCTGACTGCCCACACCTGGCGGCCCACACCTGACTGCCCACACCTGACTGCCCACACCTGACTGCCCACACCTGGCGG